GTGTGTGTGTGTGTGTGTGTGTGTGTGTGTGTGTGAGAGATATTATAGTTTTTTGGAACATTGTAAAGTATGTTTCGACACATGCTATAGACAACAAATAAAGTATTTCTTCAAATGTGACTAATGCTAATGTATTTTCTTGGACTGAAATATATGGAGGGCAAAATAATTTTTTTAATGCCTTAAAAAAATATTTCGATTTTTAAAATATATTTTCAAAAATAAAAAAAAATGGCCAAAACTATATTGGTATAAAATATATTTTGAAATCTATCTCTCTATCTATCTCTCTATCTATCTATCTATCTATCTATCTATCTATCTATCTATCTATCTATCTATCTCTTCTGAACATTTTTGTTTTTCCACACAAGGATCAAGCTCTTAGCATTCAGAGTTTTCCTCAGAAATTACTTGAAGAGACAAACCCACTAATTAGAAGAGAGTGTGTATGTGCATTTGACCATAACGTGTGTGTAACTGTGGAAGAGATCCGCACATTTTTGCTGTTCTGCAGCAGGATGCCGTCTGGTTTTGTACTCCTGAAGCCCAGAGAAAGACTGACATCGTCCAAGCTGAAGTCTTCATGGAGTTTCTCCAATGCACTGCCGAGGCTGAATTCAGCTTTCCTCACCATCTGGAAAAGAGCACGATGGATAAGAAATGACACCTTTCTGTGTTTCATCTGGGTGAATGCTGAAGAAACCAAGCTAGGATATTACCTTTAAAGGTAAATATAAATAATGAAAGATTAACTGGATTACCAGTAGCTCATTAGTGCAGCCTCTGCCGATGCCCACTTTCTCTTCAACGCTCGGAGTGGGGCCGCCGGCGGTGCCGATTTTCACACAGCCTTTCAGAGCCGGGATAGTGATGTTGTATCTATAATAAAGCAATTCAGAATTAATAAACCATCATACGATTGTTCTGAAAAGGTCTGAATCACATTTACTTGTTCTGGGTCATGAACTGAGAAATCAAATTTCCCTCGATGTTTTGACATATAACAGGTAAGTTGTGAAAAACAGTATATTAATTGCCTTCCTTGTGATCTTAACACCATATCTGCATCAGATGCGAGCCTTGTTGTTGCATCACGTCGCGAATGCGTTTCTCTTTCATGTCGCAAGCAGCGTGAGCGCTTGGAGTACATCAGAAATATGTATGTAGAAATATATATCTGTACACTGTTATGGATGTTTATCTACATTCTCTCTGTATCTTTAATGTTACTTTCTCAGTGGTCTCTGTATATTACTCTCAGCTCTTGGTTTGAGTTCTGTCTTCTGGTATTGATGTTTATTTGTTTCTGTTCCTTAAACCTGACTTGTAAAGTGACCTTGGGTGTTGGAAAGGCGCTATATAAATACAAATTATTATTATTATTATTAGAAATAGAGTGGGACATCAGTTTACTGTCGGCAGTATTGCGGGTAATGCAGGTTATGCTATCAGATCACTTTTGCAAGTAACTAGTAAAGTAACGCATTACTTTTTTTAGTTTAGAATGTTGTCATTCATGTATATAATGCAATTTTATTAACCAATGTCTTTGCTGCTGACCTTCAGTGATCACATTTGCCAAAAATACAACTTTTTTATATTAAAAACAAACAAGCAAGCCCAGCCCCGACTAGAAAAAGTAATGCAAAAGTAACTTAACTCATTACTTTCCATAAAAAGTAACTAAGTAACGTAATTAGTTACTTTTTTAGGCAGTTACACAATATTGTAATGCATTCCTTTTAAAAGAAACGTTCCCAACACTGACTGTCAGGGATTTGTTGTGTCAATCCACGTCACATCCAGTGTAGACAGAATCACTGATTATAATGGGTTCTGTTGTCTATAGTCACGTTGCGCCGCTCATGTCCGGAGTAAACATGGTAAAATTAGCAAAGAGCTCCAGATGGCATCAGTGAAACACTGTTTGTTTGTTTGCTTTACTTTGCTACGCATTCATTTTTAAACAAGACCGTATTGACGCAGGCTTTCCACAGAGACTGAGAGTAAAGAATGATGCAGCGCTGAGTCAACAGTAATGTCGGATCCAACAGTAACGTCGTAATGTAAACGTGCTTTGACCACTATTGCATTTTCAGTTCCAGACTGTTTGATGTATACGGAGTATTTACACGTTTTTAACCCAAATGACCCATGTTGTTTTTAGAGAACGTCACAGCAGCGTCCATCTGTTATTTTAATAAGCGAAACTGTCAGCCAATCACAGCAGTGGGTGTTTACTTGTGAATCTTGAATGAGCCCCACCTATAAAAACAGAGCGTTCTGCAGAGAGGCTCAAAAACAGGAGAGAAAATAGCCTATTACTTCTAAACTATGATGTTTTTTATGTAAAAATCACGCTAACTTTATAAGTGAACATCAGAGACCATTATAAAATATTTTTTTTAAATGTAGTTAATAACCCCTTTAATACCTGTGGCTCGTGATATATTGAGGTCTTATGAAGAGAAACAATTGGTCTGTGCAAGAACTGAGCATTATTTACAGCATTATTACCTGTAATCCAGAGCCTTGGGCAAACAAATCATTCTTTTGAACCGGTTCTTTTTGGTTTTACCAGTTCACCAAATCGGACTGAATCTTCTGAAACAGTTCTCGGCTTGAGCACCACAGATCTACAACTACAAGTTACTCAATCAAAACTCCCTTTCAGACGCCTGACAGTCACTCCGACTGGAAATGAGCCGAAACAGCGGCTTATCTGATCCTCTGATGAATGAATCATTCAGAGCTCCAGTTCCTCCAACAGTCACTGAACTGAGGAAATTGATTTCAAACTATGCTTCGCTTTATCCATTTGCCCGCTGTCATATTCATATCATTTTCACTGTGTGCTGTACATAAAATGAGTGTTACCTTGGCTTTATTTTAAAAAAACAACAACAAACAAATATGATTCCCAATGCACACAAACTGCCCAGATTACTGAGTGCCCTGTTGGTTACTGTTTACTTACATTTACATTTATATTTAGTCATTTACTTCCTTTTTATTTATACATATTTTTAATATTACTTTATTTGTGAAAAATACGGTAATAGGATTACAGAATCAAGAAGTTGTCATCTAAAGTACAAGTATGTTTATTTGATACATCTATCTATCTATCTATCTATCTATCTAAGATATCAGCATCAGCTGTCAACAAAACCAATATCGGTCGACCACTAGTAGGGATGCAATGATTATAGATTTTGTTGGTACCTGAGGAATATGAGGAATAATCACAGTTTTACGATTATGACGATTATTATGCATTTACTCATTTCCCAACGTATAAAATCTATAAAATCACATGAACACTCTTTAGATATTAAAGTGTTATTTATTGCTGGCTTTTGAAACAGAAATAAC